TCTCTCTCTCGCTCTCTCTCCGTCTCCCCCTGGAAGCACGTATGGAAGGTTGCTGAAAAGTCTATTCTACAGCAATGCACCCCAAAAAAAAAAGTGTCTCTTAACACGCCGCGCCGAATGCCAAGGAGCTGGGAGCCAAGCAAGCTCGTAGCTCTTCCCCGGCCCAACTGACCATGCGGCCCATGGCCCCAGCAGGTAGCGCTGCTGTCGCTAAGCCTCGCACAAATGTGCTCTTTGCCGACTGCCACCTGGCTTCAGCGAAAGTCTCCGGCTTAGGGTTCGTACCGCACGAATTTCCCTCGGAACACAGGCCCGGCAACGAAGTCCGACGAGTCTCAGGAGATCTCAGGCCCAGCATAACGATCACCGGTCTGCTTGTAACTGGGAGAGAGATCCTTCCCTTGAAGTGCCTACATCAGCGACCATGGAACGGACCCAACACCCGGATGTTTCGTATGTGTTTAGGCCCTCCCCTCCGGCCTGCGCTGCTTCCCGCTTCAGACCCAGGCTCACTGGAGGGATCGAAGTCGCGTCGGCGAGGTCTCTGGGATCCCCCTGGCCCAGCTGGCCCTGGCTGCCTTGACCCCAGCACCTGAAACAAAAAAACGAGGGCCACTACGAGAGAGAGGGGGGGTTTGGATAGGGTTTAGGGTTTAGGGGGAGTCTGAAAAAAGGCTTAGGGTTTAAGGGCAGTTTTAGGGAGAGCCACAAAAAGTTCGAGAATCCTGTTGTGCAATCCCTCGGCTTGCCAAGCCTCAACTGCCCACCGGACAGCACGCAGGTAACATGGCCACCGGCAGCGATGGACACGTCTGAGAGGGCAGAGGGAACCAGCCAAAAGAGAATTATTCCACGCAGCATGGCTCTGTCTCACTGACCTCGGTGGGCGTCGACCATGGCTGCCATGAGCGGCAAAGACCCGCCTCGACCATCGCACGCTCGGAACCGGCAAGAGCAGTTCATGAAAATTTGTGTGGGCTGCTGCAATCATATGCGGGGCTCGACACCAAAACTCTCTGGATGTGCGTGTGCTGGTCGTGATATGCAAGACGGCTCGATAAAAACAAATGCGTTGCTACAGCACTCTGTTCTAAATTACAGTCACGGTGACAGCTTGAACCTACTTCGTGCTGAAATGACTTCCCCATTGTTGCTGCAGGAATGACCAAGACAACTACATGCATTCTTCGAGATATGATCCAGATGAGGATGACGATGACGACGGCGACGAGGACGACGACGACGACAAAGACGAGGACGAGGACGACGAGGACGTGGCGGAGGGAGCGCCATACCGGCGCGTAACTTTGAAGCAGGAGCGGTTTGTCGGGCAGCATGGAACTCGTCAACAGCGCCGTTCTGTGGGCACTCATAATCCCGGGAAAACCCTAAACCCTAAACTGTACAGAGTTTAGCTTTCGGGCTTAGCCATCTGGACACGCTCGACAGCAAAGGAGTCGCAGCAGCCCTTATTTCGAGCACCTGCAAGCCTTTCGAGGCATTACGCTCTTCGAGCTTCCGAGAGAGGTGTCTGAGGTGCGCGAAACATCAATCCGAACAGAACATTTCTCGGCAACTCTGCCATCTCGCTGTGGCAAAGCAGGCTCGGGAGCTCAAGGATCGAGAAACATACCTGCCTTGTTGCGGTTTAAGGTGTAGACTTTAAGGCTTTGCGTGCCCATACCTCATGCCTTCCCACTTGCCTGCAAAGCTAGCCGTCAGTTTTGCTCACAAAAATACCCTACACGTCAGCAGGGTGTAGCTATACACAATTGTTAAACCTTGGCCGAGCTATGCATGATGGCACTGCTGGTGGTATTTGCAATATTTCATGGTCTTCTCTCGGAGGCAATGGGACTCATCGCAGGACTTGAGGATGATCTCTTTCTTGTCGTCATACACGCTGCAAATCTCAAAACCGTGGTTGGCCGACAATAAGTCAATAAGACCTCTGCTTCGTCTGAATACCTGGCACTGTCGACTGGACTCTGCAACCTGACCATGAAACCTGAACCCAAGAACCCTGTCCCGAGCCACAAACCGCCCAAGCCCCTCGCTCACAAAAGGGCCCTAATGACGGCGATAACGCGCCTTAGACTCCTAGACTTTCCAGTCTTCAGCCCAGGCTCTCGGACGTTTTGGCGATGTCTGCGGCACAGCGTAAGGACTGCGTGTTTGTAATTCGGATCAGCCATGGGTCAGCAAATTTTGTGCGTGCCCTTTGATAGCTTACTGAGGTAGACGTGAAGCCATACAGGTAGATAGTCTTGCCCACGCTCCTGCTGGGAACGAGAGGAGAGCGACCGGGATGCACAGCACATCGCGAGGATTAAACAACATACAACCCTGGACCCTCAACCAAAACCCTAAACCTCAAGTACCTCCCCTTTCCATCAATCTTGTTCACTTCAAGACCTGCAAAGTCTCATGGTGTTGCTGCGCTTTTCGGTGACAAACAAAGGGTCTTTGCCATGCTGATGTTGGGGGGAGTCTCAAAGACCCTCATCATCAACAACCTCACACTTCAATATGCCCGCATGCAAGGATTACAGGCTGCAGAGCTTTGAAGACTCCAGAACAACTAAACGAACACACAAGCCCAAGTACAAGTGCGAGCGCGCATCCTCCGGGCACTGGAACGACTAGCAAACATGCAAACAGCCTTGAACCCCAAACTGCACCACAAACCTCTCTCGCCGCTTTTGTCAAATTTTTTTCCCATTAAAATCATGAGTTCCTTTGTCATGTAGCTAGTAGGGTTTAGCACGGTTTCGCGAAGTTTTCGCCAGGGTTTGTTGCATGAGGTTGATGTTTTGGAATTCAGACTAGGGTTCTGCAAGGATATCCTCCTACCATGGTTGTTTAGCTGCAGGATTCAAGAGTGGAAAGGGCTAAACGAGCTACTCTTGACTTACATGCTCGTTTTCATGGGGAGGGAAGGGGCCGAGGCCGGCCAGTAGACTGAAGCGAGCGGCCTGTCACGATGTAGTCACGCTGGCCACCTCGGCTTGGGAAAGCACGTTCGGGGATTGGGTGGGTGGGGGTGGGGAAGGGGCGCCACACTTCACAGTGCCACGGAGGGCAGAAAGAACGTCGGACCGCACCTTCGGGCACATATTCGGCGCCGGTACCTGGAAAAAACACAGGTGCCTGGCACCGAGACGCATGGTCGGGATAGTTAGAATCTCACCTTGGATTTCGCCGGGCTCAATATTCCTGGCACAGATGCTGATGGGCAAAGTGGTGGAAAAAGACTGCTGACTGGGACCCCACTTCGACCCCAAGACACCGGCAACAAACCGTACATATCCGCACCTGGGATGCCGTTTCGAGCCCAAGACACCGGCAACAAATCGCACATATAAGAACAGCGACCTAGCTTCGAACCCAAGGCACCGGCAACATCGCTCCATTTCGAACTCAAGACACGGGCAACAAATCGACCATCTAAGCCTTGGGACCCCTTTTCGAGACCAAACACCGGCAACAAAATCGTACATCTTCGCACAGGGACCCTACTTCGAGCCCAAGACACCGCAACAAATCGTACATCTTAGCACTGCGACGCCACATTGAGCCCAAGACACCGGGAAAAAAATCGTGCATATAAGAACAGCGACCCCACTTCGAGCCCAAAGCACCGGCAACAAAACTCTTACATCTTGGCACTGGGACCCCACTTCGAGCCCAAAACACCGGCAACAAATCGTACATCTTAGCACTGCGATGCCACATTGAGCCCAAGACACCGGCAACAAATCGTACATTTAAGAACAGCGACCCCACTTCGAGCCCAAA